CTACAGAAGGAATTATTGAAAAGGATTATATGAGAGAGTAGAAATGAGTTGAGAGTTTTGTTGTAAGTTTTTGTTGGGGTTAGAGTTTTTGTTATCAGTAGTTTGGTCATTTGTATTGACAGTAGAATCATCATTTGAATCTGTCATAATAACATCATCATCTTCATTAAGTTCAGAAGAGGATGTTTGGTCTTGGTTGGACTTAGATGTGGAAGTTTAATTGGTGGTATCCTTGGGATGTTGTGAAGTAGAGGATTTGGGTGAACTGGTAGTTCCAGAATAAAAGAAGATATTTGATGGGATTTTTGGTGTTTTGAAATTAATCTTAAACTTGGTATGTATAATATCTTGTGCTTGAGGAAAGAGAGTTTCTTTGTAAACTTTTTTAATATATGCAATAGAAAGTTTATTTCCAGTTTTTAAGATATGAAAATAAGTAAGGACTCGGGCAAGATAGTCAGTTTTGATAGGCTTGTTAGTGATTTTATCAATTGCTTGTTGAAGATAGAGATTGTTGATTTAATCATTTTTAGTAGTGGCATTGAGAAATGCATTGAGGTAGCTATAAAAATAGTAACTTTCACGAGAGGAATCTGTTACTACTTTATTTAGCTCCATAAATTTTTCTTCAGTCTCAGTAGCAAGTTTGTGTAGAAAAGGAATTGGAGTAGGTTTTTGAAATGTTGCAGCATGTTGTTTATCCTTGTAAAATATAGAGAAGTCAAGGTCAGGATGTGTATATACAATTTTGAATGTTGTAGAAGTAGTTTTAGGAGGAGCAGGAAAGTGATTAAATGATTCTTTAAAGAAGAATATAGATAGATTTTTAAAATTATATTCAGTGTCTTTAGGTAGAGTAGTGCAGTTTTCGATAGTGCAAGTATAGATGTGATATAGTGCAGCTTTAAAACATAAGAAAGATCTTTTGCATAGTGAATTAATACTAGTAATAGCAAATTCTTTAGGAAGAAGTGCTTTACATATGTTAGAAAGCTTAAAACCAATATGGTATTTGATATAATTATATGTTTTTTGTTTGTCAATATTAATAAATTGCCGTTTGTAGATATCAAAGAATTTGTTAAACCAAGATTCAAAGTCTGGTAGATATTTTTTAAGAGAAGGTATTTGGAAAGTTTCTAGGAAATGTTTTTTGGGTATATTGAATGAAATATTAATGTTGAATTTGGAATCGTTTTGAATTTTGAATAGTGGTTGATTGATACTGTCCTCACTAATATAATAATGGAGCTTGAAATGAATTGATGTAATGTTAAGATCTTCATAGAATTTGTTAGAGTTGATTGTTTTGTATTTGTTATGTAAAATAAGATGTAGGCGAGCTAGGTTAAGTGCTACCTGTTTTCTGTTAGAAATAAAATAAGGTGGGATAGAATTATAAGATGAAAAGAATTTAGAATAGTTAAGTTGTGTAAATAGAGTAGTAGTAAATTGCTTGAGTAGTGCAATAAAGGTAGAAAGGAGAAGTTCGAAAGAGATTTCAATGTCTGAATTAATAGTGGGGTTGCTGTTGTGAATGAAATCAGTAAGGAATTTAGGTTTTTTCCCTGCTAAGACTTTAACAAGGTACATGTAATTGAATTTAGATTCTCGTTGATTGTTTGAGGGTGGTCTAATAACTTTGCCAGAATAAACATCGATGAGGTGTGGTCTAATAAAGTCAAATAGCTGGTAAGCAATTTAAGTATTAAATTTGTTGTTTGGCTCCATGAATGAGAAACTGAATATTCTTTAAACCAGTCTATATCATTAGTAGTATCTCGCGAGGTTTGATTTTGATTTTGTTTTTGCTTTTGTTCACTAGTAAATTGATTTGTCTTAGCTTTTTTTGGAAAAATTTCTTTGTAAAGATTAACTTTGTCCTTTGCAGACATTTGAGAAAGTTTGTAAAAGGCAATTATTTTTTTGTGGTTAAAGCCAAGTGGAGATGTTGGTGTAATAGGTTTGAGTTTAATATCAAGTAGTTGGGATAAGCAAGTTCTATGAATTAAAGCATTTTTAAGGATAGCGGCAGTTGTATAGTCTGGTGCATGATTTTGTTGATCTTCGGTAAGTACACAGAGGATGTTTTTAACTTTGCAAATAATGCAGGTATGATAGTGATATGAGTGAGCAAGAATAGCTATAGGTGCACGATCAGTTTGGAAATTGGGAAAAAGAATACATGGATTGGTTTGGGATGACACAGGTTCAATAAATACATAAATGATACATAACGGGATCCCTTTATCATCCCGATATCTATCCTTTATGCATCTACTCTTAACCTGTTTTGCTACAGTTACTTGGCGGATCTATGGTAATATAAAGAATGAATACCGGTACAACATAAAAGATAAATATGAGATAAATAAAGGGTATCTATTAATATCCCGATATTGATTCTTTATATGATAATTATATAT